TAAGTTGGATATCATAAATTCATTAAAGATAGTCTCCAATAATGTACAGATATATTTAAACATTATTGCTATCTTTAAATAGACTATAGATATCTTTAGAACAATTGAAGATATCTTTAATTTCGCAATAAATGTGAAAACGGCTTGCTGTATGTGCGTGGATGTTGGTAAGTGGTTTGGTGGTTGTGTACGTGGTTAATGATCTTCCCCGTCATAAATTGTGGTCACCACGGCTTGATTCCCCCGTCACCCACCCATCACACAACAGATGACCTGTCCCCAAGCACAGGGGCGGGTCACGCTTAGAAACAGCGTTAGAAAGACATATAGGTATATAGACCCTACCCTAGTGCTTACAAGTACTAGGGTAGGGTCTATATACAATGTACCTATATAGGCGGTAGGGTAGCCTAGTGGTTAAAGCGTTGGCTCGTCACGCCGAAGACCCGGGTTCGAATCCCCACATGGGTACAATGAGTGAAGCCCATTTCTGGTGTCCCCCGCCGTGATGTTGCTGGAATATTGCTAAAAGCGGCGTAAAACCAAACTCAGTCAGTCAGTCTATATACCTATATGTCTTTCTAACGCTGTTTCTAAGCGTGACACGCTCCTGTGTCCCCAAGTAACTGTAGCTTAGAGCTCACAACAGGGAACGGTTCTTTTACACTTGTGGGGAATTTAGACAGGATTCTGTGACATTTACATTATAATGAACAAAGCTGTCATTGCCTTCAGTCCAAACGGACTTTGTGACCCACACAATGCGTCTGACACTACAACACTGGACCCTGCAATCGATGCTGACACACTTAGCCGATTGTTGAACGTATTTCCACAATTGATTGCCGATCGACGTCCTAGATCCAGAACACCAGGGATAAGGACAAGGGTTCCACTGTATCGACACTTAGATAATCAAATCGCCAGTCACCTACACTGAGGACTCGTGACGATCCGGGTTAGAATTGATCTTCAGCAACCCATGCTTGTCGTAAGAGGCGACTGACGGGATCGGGTGGTCAGGCTCGCTGACTTGACTGACACATGACATCGCATCTCAATTGCGTAGATCGATGCTCATGCTGTTGATCACTGGATTGTCTGGTCCAGACTCGATTACTAACAGACCGCCGCCATATATCTGGAATATTTTTGAGTGCGGAGTTGAACAATAAACAAACAGATAAAAATCGATACAACCTTTTCCATAACCCGGCTACACACAGACTTCATTGTACTATTCAAACTTAAGTGAAATACGCTTATAACGAACATGTATCTTAAGACCTGACGGATATAAGGAACTATGATTTGGTCCCGGCGACTTGCTGAATGCTTTAGTCGAATGCGTGTAACACAATACGGCTATAACGAACTAAACTAGTGGTCGCTTCGAGTTCGTCACAACCGTAGTTTAATGTCTACCATAAGCATAAACTATGATAAAAGGTGTTCGCCCTTCCATTCCACGCAGCTAATCAAAAGGTTCCTGTTTCCTGGTCTTCCTATGCCTTTGCTTTGTAGTTTTGTAGTTTTGCAAAATACTGACACCATTTTTACTCCTAAATTGATTATTATCATTATTGTTATATATTGTAGGATATTATTTAGCTGTATTGATGATGAAATATAGTGGAAAATGGTATACTATTTACAGCTCTTACCGTCAGCTATGGAAACGTTTCAAAAACCATTAAATGCTATTTACGCTTCACAAAATTATATGAATGTGAGTGGATATTATTATTAGAAATTAGCTGTGCAAAACACCAATGCATATTATATACACACACTTGACACATAGTATAAGAGTAAGTGAATAACAATCGTGTCTACTTCCACAACACCGATCAAACTATGAATGGTAGAATAAATTTCGAAACGAACAATACTGCATTAGCAATTTTAATATGACTGAGTGCCATTTTATATATTCCAATGAAAAATTCCGCTTGGCACAAACTTGAGTTGATTATTATACTGTCATGTTTCAGAACATGGTCACATTCCGTATTGCATTCCAAGTTTTGTATATCGAGGGGAGATAACTCTAGACGAACGATGTGTGTGTGGAGAGCAAATGGTCAGTGAAAACCGAATGGTTGTTCGAAGGTTAGATTCAAGTGAGTGACCGACTGACCGACTGAGTTTGGTTTTACGCCGCTTTTAGCAATATTCCAGCAATATCACGGCGGGGGACACCAGGAATGGGCTTCACTCATTGTACCCATGTGGGGGATTCGAACCCGGGTCTTCGGCATGACGAGCCAACGCTTTAACCACTAGACTACCCCACCGCCCCAGTGAGTGAAAAAAGAATCCAGAGGTGATCACATGTTTTAGGTTCCATGTCCAGTTTCGAAATGAATCATAATGACCTGTACTTCTAAGCCTGCATTGTTTCATTTCTCGGCAAGACGATTCTCCACAATAACTGGTATATACAGTTGACGAAAAACAGCGCGAGTGAGTGAGTTTTGTCTTCGCCGCTTTTAGCAATATTCCAGCAACATCACGGCGGGGGACACCAGAAATGGGCTTAACACATTGTACCAATGTGGGGAATCGAACCCGGGTCTTCGACGTGGCGAGCGAACGCTTTAACCACTTGGCTACCCCACCGCCCCATATCAGCCGGAAACCGATCAGATATATATTTGATATATAATTATGAAAATGTGACAACATATTTTACTTTCCTAATCTAGATCTTGTTATATTGCTAGGGTGTTGTCATTGCTTTTGTTGCGCCTATGATGTCGCCAGTGGTGGCTCATACAATCAAGACCGCCTCCGTGGTGTAGTGGTTAGAGCGTCCGCACGGTGAGCGGAAGGTCGCGGGTTCGATACCCGGTTGCGTCATACCAAAAGACGTTAAAATATGGTACTTGTTGGTCTCTGTCTGGCGCTCGGCATTAATGGGTACAACAAGGACTGGTCGGCTCGGAGTCAGTATAATGTGTCTGAGTGGGGTATTCATGCTTCACTGCGGCATGGTATCTCAGTGAGCTAGCACTATAAAACCAGCTTAAGTCTGGGCTAGTACAAGCAGCCGCACATACACATACACATGCATGCACGTCGTCATATGAGCGAAATATTCTTAAGTACGACGTAAAACCCCAATTTCACCTCACCTCACATCATACAATCACGGTGCGGTGGGGTAGCTATAGCTAGTGGTTAAAGCGTTCGCTTGTCATGCCGATGACCCGGGTTCGATTTCCCACATGGGCACAATGTGTGAAGCCCATTTCTGGTGTCCCCCCACCATAATATTGCTGGAATATTGATAAAAGTGGCGTAAAACTATACTCACTCACTCACTCACTCATACAATCACAACAATCATTGTTTGAGAACTTTGTGACAATCAGACTGGTGCCATAGTCATGGTGGCCATACTTTCCGGCATTGTCGAATTTCATGTTTTTTGTGTATTCCTCTCAGACTGCAAATGAATTGTTACCAAATTTCAATTTCTGTTTTGTTTCATAGTAAATCATAGTAAAATATAGACTATTTGTTACAGATACTATTTCAAAACGCGGAACCTGTATTGGAATCAGTAATTTTGCTGCTCACAGTAATTTTGGTATCATGGGGGATAAGGGAAGTTTACGGTAAAGAAAGCCACGCGGTGTGCGTCATGAAGTGATAATTGTAAAGGTTTGTTTTGCAGAAAAATGCAGGTTAAAGTCTGTATTCGCCAGGAAAGTTTCACCTAACGTTTCAAATCACTTTAATCTAGGACTCGCGAATGTTATGCTTGAGTTTCAACACAGTTACAGCTATTTCTCATGAATGTTTCATCAAGTCGCAAGTGACTTTCATCTTTGTGTTGGAACCGTGTCGTAATGTTCAGTGGAGTCCTCGGCCCCGTTCCTCAAAGCGATCGTAGCGCTACGACAGTCGTAAGTCTATGTTTAGAGTATGGGAGTTACGACTGTCGTAGCGCTACGATCGCTTTGAGGAACGGGGCCCTGGATTAAACAATTGAGACTTTGAGTTGATGTTCCATGAATACAAAGAGGCTTAGCCATACACCCACATCGCAAAACAAAACAAACGCCATATAGTGTTTTCGTACTGTTCAAAATACTTTTGTATGATTGTATATAGAGTTAGGAAATCTTTATTCCATTCACAACGTGTTATTAATTTCGCCTAAATTAAAACGTCAATTTCGTGCAAGCATATTTTCATGTTGTACATGTGAACATAGTCGCTGTACAATTCGATATCTACAGTGGTTGGTTGGTTGGTTGGTTGGTTGGTTGGTTGTTCAATGCCGCACTATTTCACCTATATGGCGGCGGTCTGTAAATAATCGAGTCTGGACCAGACAATCCAGTGATCAACAGCATGATCATCGATCTGCGCAATTGGGAACCGACATGTGTCAACCAAGTCAGCGAGGGACCGCGTCCGTGGTGTAGTGGTTAGAGGGTCCGCCCGGAGAGCGGAAGGTCACGGGTTCGATCCCAGGCCGCGTCATACCAAAAGACGTTAAAATATGGTACTTGTTGGTCCCTGCCTGGCGCTCGGCATTAATGGGTACAACAAGGACTGGTCGGCTCGGAGTCTGTGTCTGAATGGGGTAAAATGAAACTATTGATGCTTCACTGCGGCATGGCATCTCAGTGAGCTAGCACTATAAAACCAGCTTTTATTTAAATAAAATCTGGGATAGTACAAGCAGTCACACATGTACACACGCATGGACGTCGTGATATGAGCGAAATATTCACAAGAACAACGTTAAACCCAATATTTCACCTCACCTCGCCTCACCTCACCTCACCTCACCTCGTCCATCCGGGATTCGAACCCACACCGTCATACTGAGTGCCTCAAACAGAACATTAGCATGTTACCTTGGCCAGCACACAGTCCAGACTTGGCGATTCCTCTCTTTGCACCCCTCCCTCATAACAAATAGTGAACTGTTTCAAAATTTTCATGATAGTTTGTTAAACAACTTTTTTTATTTTTAGGACATATATTCTACAAAAAATTCACAGAGTTGGTCCGATGTTTTGAAAATGATCAGTGTTTCACTGAGTATTATATGTTTAGTAGTTTTCGAGTTAGATTGCAATTCATCGGTCCGATTTTGAGCCAAACGGACTATACCCATGTTTGTCGTAAGTGGCGACTATTCTTGAAAGTGGCAACTATTCTTGTTGTAAGTGGCAACTATTCTTGTCGTAAGTGGCGACTATTCTTGTCGTAAGTGGCGACTATTCTTTTCTTAAGTGGCGACTATTTTTGTCGTAAGTGGCAAGTATTCTTGTGGTAGGTGGCGACTATTCTTGTGGTAAGTGGCGACTATTTTTGTGTTAAGTGGCGACTATTCTTGTGGTAAGTGGCGACTATTCTTGTCTTAAGTGGCGATTATTCTTGTGGTAAGTGACGACTATTTTTGTCTTAAGTGGCAACTATTCTTGTAAGTGGCAACTATTCTTGCCGTAAGTGGCGATTATTCTTGTGGTAAGTGGCGACTAATTTTGTGGTAAGTGGCGACTATTCTTGTAAGTGGCGACTATTCTTGTGGTAAGTGGCGACTATTCTTGTCTTAAGTGGCGACTATTCTTGTGGTAAGTGGCGACTATTCTTGTACTAAGTGGCGACTATTCTTGTGGTAAGTGGCGACTATTCTTGTACTAAGTGGCGACTATTCTTGTGGTAAGTGGCGACTATTCTTGTACTAAGTGGCGGTTTGCCTGATCGTATGGTCGCAGACTTTGTTAGTGTATCTCAACTGCGCAGATCGATGCTCATGATGTCAATCACTGAACTTGCTTGTCCAAACAGTAGCTATTTACAGACCGCCGTAATATATACACATGTATATCAAGCATCACCCACGTTTGTACACGAACACACAACATGTAGTTTATGTTTTGATTAAAATGGTGACTGTAACACATTTTACTCTGATTAAAACAAAACAAAATTGAGATTGAAATTTGGTAACAAGTTACTTGCAATCATGATGACTCAGCTACCAATCTTATGATCTCACGTTTCTCAAATATTGATTGTTGGGATCACCACTGGCGACCACTTCAGTACCCGGTGTAGCCACCTTTCGTACGAATAACATCTGCTCTTTTCCGCACTCAAGCGTCCGCATGAGCATTAGAATCCTCTGCCATTCATCATGGAGTGTCTGCGTTAATTAAAGCAGACTTTAAACAGGAGGAAATTAAGCTTGAACATGGCGCCCAAGATGGTCTCTAAGATGTTCGATGGGATGTGTATTGAGGATCCTTGTGGGCCATGGTAATGTTTCGATGGCGTTGCTACGCAAATAGTGGGTGAGTGAGTGAGTTTAGTTTTACGCCGCACTCAGCAAAATTCCAGCTATATGGCGGTGGTCTGTAAATAATCGAGTCTGGACCAGGTAATCCAGTGATCAACGGCATGAGTATCGAATTGGGAACCGATGACATGTGTCAACCAAGTCAGCGATCCTGACCTGCGATTACCGTTAGTCGCCACTTACGACAAGAATGGGTTACTGAAGATCAATATTCGAACCCGGATCTTCACGGGTAGCTACGCAAATAGGCGATGGCGACTTGTCCGCGTTGTCATCCACTGATATCGACGATTGGCAAGGGGGTGGTTGTAAAGATGTGGCCAGGGTATCCAGTACTTCCTGTTGGTAACGCTGCCCCTGAGTGTCACAGGTACTGTAATGAGATCCAACTTGCCGTCACACGAAAACCAACCCCACACAATAGGGCTGCGCAATATAACCGGTTTAGGCATGAGAACGATACGTATTGCGATACGCTGATCGAAAACCGGTATTTTGACATGCATTCGGAAAACTTCAGGACACTCGGAAATCGTCGGATATTTTCGGGGTTTTTATTTGTTCCTTTCCTTGTTTCATTTGTTCCAAACATTATTTGCATATTTATTTTGTCATGATTTAAATTTGTATTCAAGCCTAATCAAGCATAGTGATTTTGTTGTTTTCGCTTTGTAAATCAAGCATTAACTCGATTATAAGTAGTTTTTTTAAAAAGAATTCTTGCAATATATTGCAATACATATCGCAATATATGCTTTCGCATCGCAATATATCGCAATATGAAAATTTTCGGCAATACCCACCCCTACCACACAATCACTACGTCACTGACAAACGCCCGTCAGTAACATGTAGAAGATAGCGAGTTTCATCAGATCAACGAACCCTACTCCATGTCCAAGAGTTTCTTGGCGATTGTCTCGGAGCCTGCACTACGCCACGCGTTCCTGTCTGTAGGCCTATCTATGAGGAAGGGACGTCTGACGTCCCACGTGCGTAGATCGATGCTCATTGTCGTTGTTCACTGGATTGTCTGGTCCAGACTCGATTATTTACAGACGCCGCCATACAGCTGGAATATTGCTGAGTGCGGCATAAAACTAGGCTCACTCACTCACTGATCGGACGTCTGGCCGGTCATCGCGGACATTGGTCTTTCTCGTTCTTCAAGGTCATGGACAATCGGGGCGCTGTGGCTGCCTAGTGGGTTAAAGCGTTCGCTCGTCACGCCGAAGACCCGGGTTCGATTCCCCATATGGGTACAGTGTGTGAAGCCCATTTCTGGTGTCCTCCGCCGTGATATTGCTGGAATATTGCTAAAAGCGGCATAAAAGCGAACTCACTCTGCAAACTGGAAAACTCACTCACTCACTCACCAATGAGACCAACAATTAAGCAGTTTCCTCGTCCCTAACATCATCAGCTACTGATGCAGGTACCCGGAGTCGGCTAACACAACTGTTGGTGCATAACATCAGTCGACTTCATAGGTGAAAGGTTACTGTGATATTATGCTTTAGAACGTTGTTTGAAATACTGCAACCAATAAAAGAAAATCATGTTCTGGTGTCCCCCGCGGTAATAGTGCTGGAATATTGCTAAAAGCGGCGTGAAACCTTACTCCCTCACTCACTTGTCATGTCAAGAAAGGCGATCACGTGCTTTACACTTACAGTGAAGTATGCAGGGGTATAATAGCATATTGTATTTTATACGTTGCCCTTGAACTCAGGTGGCGCTTACGTAATGCTCTTGGGTATAGCTGGATTACTGGTGAGCGCAGCGTTCAACAACAATTGATATTTCTTTAGTCTGTTAACAAGCAGTGATCTGATCTTAACATTTAACATCTGGTTGAAGGAGTCAATAGAATATTTCACAGCAGCAGCATGTGAACAGCTTGAGTCTTTACTTGTGGGTTATGAAAGTGTTTAAAACTCCCAAAATTCCAAGCCAGACAGCCGGACTGGTAACATAACAAATATACCAGTCCGGATACAAATTTGCCTGTCCGGTTTTCAACAATTAAAAACTGTGACTGCCATTTCCAACTCGGGCAAGCTCTATTCGCTGTTTGTAGGCATCGCAATGAACTACATAGCACTAACAGGCAATGCACCGAGTTTAGGTAAACTGAAAGTACATGATTGTGATTGGTTATCGTAACATGAACTGTCCAATCGTAAGTACTTTAACACAATTATCATAATACCTTAAACACCTCAAACTGACGACAAGAGAACCTGTCTGATATTATGAAAGATTTACTCTTAGGGGTAAAAATATCTACCAGATCACCGGACAGGCTACTTTCGAAATTTGACCGTCCGAGATGAAAATAGACCGTTCCGGGCGGTCGGGCTGGCGGGAATCTTAAACACTGGATTATGACACAATGACTGGTTGCACGCATTCATGGCCAAACAAATGCATGTACATCGATTCGTGAGAAATACAACCATACGCCCTGTTGGAATTCCCTAGTATGGTGATCTACCTTCAGTTGTTGGCGATCTATAGCCCAGTTTTACATTGCATTGTCCCAAAATAATTTCTACTTTTACAGATATATGCTGGCTAGTTTTAACTCAATCTGTGATAATCTAGTTGTTTCACAGTCCTTCGTTGACAGGGCTTTATATATTATATGTATGTATTATGAATTTAGAACTAGTTTTAGTCACGATATGGCTGAAATATTGCCGATGTGACTTTAAATCTTAACTCACTCACTCACTCACTCACTCTATGGGACCATCCATTTGATGTGTTTTGTGGGTGGATGTGTGTGTATGTTAAAGATATCTATTACATTCCATGCTATATCCAATGACGTTTGCGTATTTTCAATAAAACAAACTATGTACTCTTCACCTGAGGCCTATATTTGAGTCGAATGTTGTCATTTAAAAGATTTACACACCCTCCCTCTCTCCCTCTCTCTCCACCCCTCTCTCTCCCTCCCTCCCTCTCTCTCTCTCTCTCTCTCTCTCTCTCTCTCTCTCTCTCTCTCTCTCTCTCTCTCTCTCTCTCTCTCTCTCTCTCTCTCTCTCTCTCTCTCTCTCTCTCTCTCTCTCTCTCTCTCTCTCTCTCTCCTCGACCTCTCTCTCCTCTCTCTCTACCCCTCTCTCTCTCTCTCTCTCTCTCTCTCTCTCGACCTCTCTCCTCTCTCTCTGCCCCCCTCTCTCTCTCTCTCTCTCTCTCTCTCTCTCTCTCTCTCTCTCTCTCTCTCCCTCTCCTCTCTCCTCTCTCTCTACCCCCCTCTCTCTCTCTCTCTCTCTCTCTCCCTCGACCTCTCTCTCCCTCTCTCTCTACCCCCCTCTCTCTCTCTCTCTCTCTCTCTCGCCCTCTTTCTATTACTCTCTCAGCCATACATTCCTTCCCTTTTAGTGAAAGTAAGATTAGATTCTTGAATTTGTTTTCTCACATTCAGGTGAGCTACGGGCCCTTGTGAAGCAGTATTCTAACCAGAGTACCACTTTCACACTTCGCACACAACGGCCAGCTTTCTGCATATACGATGCCATTCTAACCCTTGTAACTTCCCTGTTTGACAAGAATTCTCTCGTAAATCGACACACTGGTTTAATGCCGTAATCGTTCTTTACGAGTCAGCTTGGTTGAAACCCTTTCAACCAATTATAAACCGTCAGCGAAACTAGCCTACTATCAGATCCGCCTCGTCCTTGTTCCATTAAAGCATGCTATTTAGCAGGACAATCCGTGTTGTCTAATCGTGCTGCAATACTCTTCTAAGTAGTCAATGTCCGTACATGCCGTAGCTCGAACGTTTCGTGAAGTCCTTCAGAGAACAAGAGACCAACAACAGCCCCTGCCTACCGGAATACCATCGACAGGGGAATTTTCCAATTCCGTGACAAATCGGTGTTTCCATTTAGCTGCAGGACAGGCCGTGCTGAAATTTATCAATTTGCCCGGCATTATTAATACACAGATAGTAAGAGGAAAGCAGCTTTATAAGAGGATTTCGTCGACGAAGTTGTAAGTCTCCATGGGGATATCGACCCAGCTAGAGGCTTAAAGAGGATCATTTGAAAGAAATGAAATTTGATTGCCATGAATTGAACATAGCAGTGAGATTCGCTGACAGCAGCGAAATATCCTCACCTCTAAATGGCCTGACCTTCTCCACAGACGGCCTATCGTGGCAGCCAGACGTGTTACCTCCGATTACGTGAAAAATCTACTTCACTGGGTGCTCGCGGACTTAGCTGTCTGTACGCACTTGAATGGAAATACGTCCCTTTGATAACAAGGCCCCATGTTGGAAAGGCGCGGACGTCAGTGAAGACAACCGTAATGGCGTCCTTGTATTCAAGAGTCATTAGTTGAGCAGTAGTAGTTCCGATCGTGTCTAACATGTTCTTTTAATTGGTGGAGACGTGGAGTTTTCTTACAATGCTCGGACCTTAGTTCCGGTACATCAGTATGTAAGCGTTAGCTAACCACGCACAAAGAGAAGGTTTCTAGAATGAACTACATATTCAGATAAGTACCTGCCTGAGAATATTGATATATAGTGCCTTCTGATTTGAGTATTTAAGATATTCCAAGAAAAGCGGTTTGTATTCGCCTTCTTTGGATAACCTGGCATGGAACCGTTGAAGAATTGGTCCTCGGGACCCTTTGCATGGCGTAAGAGGCGGCAAACTGGATCGGGCGGCATGCTTGTTGACTTGGTTGACGCACGTCATTGTGTCTCAATTGCGCAGATGGATTAAACGGTTAATGGATAAGATAACGCTTCAGTTTGTATATTTCTTTTCCCTTGTTAAATGTCCCCATTGTCATCTCATCATTCATGCCTGGATTATAATCCCTGGCTTCCACTTGCCCATACAACTTACTAATTTAGTGCTCAATTAACTACTGGCATCCCTTGTTATCTTATCCCATGTACATATATAGCTGTCTGTTTCCTATTCTTTTATTCACTTGATGAAGAAGTACGAATATACTTCGAAACGTCTTAGCCCTCAAAATAAAGACTGGTTGACATCCATAAATTCTCATGCCCGTATGTTTCAGTGGAGCTATAACTTCAGTCTGGGCTAAATGCCGTTCACATCGTCAAGACTCTAAACACTTATGGCGTCAATCACTGGATTGTCTGGTAAAATGCCGTTCAAAGACCCGTATGTTGACAGACAGTCGTCATACATCTGGAATATCGCGGCGTCAAACAACAAAACTATCTTGTCACTTGTGAGTGAGTGAGTGAGTGAGTGAGTGTGATTTTACGCCGCATTTAGCAATATTCCAGCAATATCACGTCGGGGAACACCAGAAATGGGCTTCACACATTGTACCCATGTGGGGAATCGAACCCGGCTCTTTGACGTGACGAGCCAACGCTTTAACCACAAGGCTACCCCACCGCCCCATCTTGTCACTTGCACCCATAAGCAATAGGACGAAACAGCTATACACTTTATGTGAGTTGATTCGCCAGTTTAAAGGGCATAGGATACATATTTTCCTCTGTGTGATAATTATAGACAGAGAGGAGAGATTAACTTCACTGTCGTCTTCTACCATTGGGAATTTCATATATCAATGTCAACAGTGTTCAAAGACTTTCAAATGTATTGGCTAGGGGTCTGATAACAGAATAAATTCTATTCTTCTGATATAGATTACGCTAAGATTGACAAGCAGACTGATTAAATTTATGTATTAAACATCGACTGCTCAAGTTGAAGTTTAACAAAGACTTGCTTCGGTTTCGGGCAACAGCTGACTGACTGAGTTTAGTTTTACGCCGCTTTTAGCAATATCCCAGCAATATCACGGCGGGGGACACCAGAAATGGGCTTCACACATTGTACGCATGTGGGGAATCGAACCCGGGTCTTCGGCGTGACGAGCCAATGCTTTAACCACTAGGCTACCCCACCGCCCCCTTCGGGCAACAAAGCAAAGAGATATTGGAATAGTCTATCACTGGACCATTGAAGGTCGTGTTGTATTCGTGACAGCCCTAGTCTGTTTCGTTGGCTGTAAATTCCCAGGCTGCCATCAGAATGTTATACGTGCACTTTTCACGTAGGCAACGCCTCAATCTGGCTACTAAATCATGACGTATGTCAGCCATGCTGATCACAAGGTGCGTCACGTGACTCAGATGATTACAAGTCACAGAGCACTGTAACACACCGCAGCAGATCTCAGACTGGTTAGATTGCATTTGTTCGCCGTGATGCAGCTGCGATCTTGCTGACAAAAGATTCGCTGATGCTGCAATGATATTGCTGATAATAGGCTAATGTGACGGAGTTTTACTACTGCTTACTACAATATGACATGGTATGGCTGCTTTGATGTAGCACTGAATCTGACGTGGTACAGCTGTAGTATTGCTGACTATAGGATGACGTGATGTAGCAGTGATGTTACTGAGTACAATCTGACGTGGTATAGATGACGACTATAGGATGACGCGATGTAGCAGTATGTTACTGAATAGTGATGTTGTACTGATGTTACTGACAATCTGACGTGGTACAGCTGTAGTATTGCTGACTATAGGATGACGCGATGTAGCAGTGATATTGATGAGTACAATCTGACGTGACTGTATATTGCTGACTATAGGATGACGCGATGTAGCAGTGATGCTGAGTACAATCTGACGTGGTATAGCTGTAGTATTGCTGACTATAGGATGACGCGATGTAGCAGTGATGTTACTGAGTACAATCTGACGTGGTATAGCTGTAGTATTGCTGACTATAGGATGACGCGATGTAGCAGTGATATTGCTGAGTACAATCTGACGTGGTATAGCTGTAGTATTGCTGACTATAGGATGACTAGCAGTGATATTGCTGATGACGCTGTAGATGCTGACATAGTGATATTGCTAGCAGATGTTACAATCTGACGTGGTATAGCTGTAGTATTGCTGACTATAGGATGACGTGATGTAGCAGTGATATTGCTGAGTACAATCTGACGTGGTATAGCTGTAGTATTGCTGACTATAGGATGACGCGATGTAGCAGTGATATTGCTGAGTACAATCTGACGTGGTATAGCTGTAGTATTGCTGACTATAGGATGACGTGATGTAGCAGTGATGTTACTGAGTACAATCTGACGATGGCATAGCTGTAGTATTGCTGACGATATAGGATGACGCGATGTAGCAGTGATATTGCTGACAATATGACGTGGTATAGCTGTAGTATTGCTGACTATAGGATGACGCGATGTAGCAGTGATATTGCTGAGTACAATATGACGTGGTATAGCTGTAGTATTGCTGACTATAGGATGACGCGATGTAGCAGTGATGTTACTGAGTACAATCTGACGTGGTATAGCTGTAGTATTGCTGACTATAGGATGACGTGATGTAGCAGTGATATTGCTGAGTACAATATGACGTGGTATAGCTGTAGTATTGCTGACTATAGGATGACGTGATGTAGCAGTGATATTGCTGAGTACAATATGACGTGGTATAGCTGTAGTATTGCTGACTATATGACGGATGACGTGATGTTGCAGTGATATTGACGTGGTGAGCTGTACAATGCTGACTATGGACGTATGTAGCTGTAGTATTGCTGACTAATAGGATGACGTAGTATTGATGTAGCAGTGATATTGCTGAGTACAATCTGACGTGGTATAGCTGTAGTATTGCTGACTATAGGATGACGTGATGTAGCAGTGATATTGCTGAGTACAATCTGACGTGGTATAGCTGTAGTATTGCTGACTATAGGATGACGTGATGTAGCAGTGATATTGCTGAGTACAATCTGAGTACAATATGTATTGGTGACTAGCTGTAGTATTGCTGACTATAGCTGATGACGCGATGTAGCTGTGATATTGATGAGTACAATATGACGTGGTATAGCTGTAATAATCACTACAGACTGACTTGATCTGATGATGCCGGCGCAAGGCCGCCATGGTAAAGCAGTATAGTTGCAGGTTACTGCCCCCCGGGATATTGCTGTAATGAAGCGTACTACAATCGATGATGAAACGAAGCTGCAGGCTACCAATTTATGTTGCTGACTAAAACCAGGGTAATATAACCCTCAAAGTGTTGCTGTACGGACGGACGAAGTATCCAGGTCGCAGTTTTATATTGTAAATGCTTAAGTATCCAGGTCGCAGTACGAATAAAAACAAATGAGTCAGTGAGTGAGTGAATGAGTGAGTGAGGTAGGTGAGTGAGTGAGTGAGTGAGTGAGTGAGTGAGTGAGTGAGTGAGTGAGTGAGTTTAGTTTTTACGCCGCACTCAGCAATATTCCAGTTATATGGCGGCGGTCTGTAAATAATCGAGTCTGGACCACACAATCCAGTGATCAACAGCATGAGCATCAATCTGTGCAATTGGGAACCGATGACAAGTGTCAACCAAGTCAAGCGAGCCTGACCACCGATCCGTTAGCATGGGATGGGTTACTGAAGATCAATATTCTAACTCTTATCTTCACGGGTGAATGAA